GGGAAGGAATGGAGTTATAGGTCCGAAAGCCAGAATATGAGTGCTAGGTTGACATCAGGTCAGAATGAAGGTAGATACGGAGTTGGCATGAGAAATGAGTGCCAGGGTGATCACAAAAAACCAAACCAAACCAAACCAAACCAGCTTCTCCTCCCGCGAAAGCCCCCAAACAAAACCCACAAATGATCAATACCAGCTTGGTCTTTATGTAATTGGGTGTGTGATTCACATATGGCTCAGACCAAAGGTCAAGGAACACCTCATTATGGAATTCATTTTGATGGATTCTTAGCTGGTTAAACAGACACACTTAGTGTAAAGATGAATTAATTAGTTAAGGAATGAATGTCAGCCTAGATAATGTCTCTAGTTGAGTGTCTCAACCTGTCATGTTAAATATTTTTTATCAACGACTTAAAGGAATGCATGAAAAACATACATATTAGACCTGCAGGTGAAAAAATATGGGAAGAACAGTTGATGGCAGATTCAAGGTTTTAAAAGCAGAAGATTCAAAGAGACCCAAGGATCTAGGTCATTGAGTCAAAGATAATAACAATGGGGCTTTTAAGAAGGATGATTGTTGAGTTGATAACTTTTAAAAATAAAAGTAAATACATTCTTCACATTAAAAAGAGTAAAAAGAAACAGATGAAATTAATTTTAGTGATTATTTATTTTGTTTATTTTTATTTTTTATTATGTTCAATTAGCCAACATATAGTACATCAATAGTTTTTGATAGTGATATATTTAACCAATAAATCCAATATATTATCATTTCAACACAAAATAAATGTAAAATCATTAATGAGATATTTTGCATTTTTCCTGTTAAGTCTTTACACTAATGTGTGTATTTTACTTGTAGCATATTTTATTTTATTTTTTAGCACATTTCATTTTAGACTGGCCATAGTTCAAGTACATGAGAGCCACACAAGCTGTCGGCTACCATATTGGACAGCATGGGTCTAAAAGGATACTGGTCAAAAAACTAATAAGGAGCAGCTACTCCAGTTGTAAGAACATTTAGTTACTAAACTGTAGAAGTCTGATATGATTGAATGCTTGTGGCTTGTCAACTCAAAGCTTGATATGGCCATAAACACTGATCTTTGCATGGGCTGTAATTGTTAGTTGAGTTGGAACTGGGAACTATCCCAATAAATCTAGGCTGAGTGGCACAGAAAAGGCATAGCATAACTTTTTATTGAGAAATAAGCAAACTAACTCCCTTGATATAAGACTCTTGACCTAGACTAGGAAAACAATCTGGAGTTTACCATGAGATCTAATCAGATCAATAATTAAAACTTAGATTTCAGGGACACCTAGGTATATGTGATTCCAATTTCCTGAGGCTCTGTCGAATTTTCTCTGTATGCTCTTCCTTTTAGCTGTTTGTAAAAGCTCCATAAGTCTGTGTTGATTTAATGTGTGCTAAATGTGTAACTAAGAGTTAAAAGTGGAAGGCTGGGACTCAGGAAGGACAGGAAGTGGGATGAGGGTTCAGAGGGACAGGCAGCATGTGGTTCTCAGACTATATGGGCAGACTTGGGGAAAAGTGAGACCCTAACTCAGAGCTGGAGGGTGTGGGATAGGAAGCAGCTGGAAACTTTCTGAACAACAAAAGAGGTGATTGAATGAGAGGGAGCAAGTGTAGGGCTAATCATAAAGCAGCCTCTGGTTCCATTGTGGCCTGTGTTGAGGGTCTTCAGTCCTCAAATACTCCCCCATTTGTGGATGGCATGGCACCCGAAACTCCTTTGGATTATGTCTCCAGTGTCTTCTACTAACATACAGATATTCTTGAGGAAGTGACACATGCAGTGGTGAACATTATTTATAGATTGCAAACATGCTTTTAGATTCAGTTGTTCTCCACAAAAGGAAGGGACTCTAGAATAACTCTGGATCGGAGGGAAAGATCAATCAAAAGAGGAAAGGGTGATAAAATAAGACACATTGTGGGTAAGGAGGTTATTAGTGCCAAAGAAACATCTTACAAGTTTTCTGGTCTGTCCTCTTCCTCCCAACAACTCTGGTCCCTCTAGGTTACTGATGTGTTTGGTATAAATGTTTCTCTGACTTCCTTTCTCTGTATGCACACCCCAGCAAACACCTTCACAAACAGTGGCTTTCTCTGTAGACTCAGACTCAATATTGCCATGCAACTTCCATTATTCACTTAATATGGACTATAGACACGTCTCCAGGTTACTGTTTATAGTTTAACTCATTTTAATTAAGTGTAGAATAGTATAAAGAATGGAAGTATAATTTATTGAGTCGTTCTCCTATTAATGCACATTCAAGCTATTTTTAGGTGTGGGCCACTCTCTCTCCCATCTTACAAATGATGGTGTCCCCAATCTTTTTCCAGAATGTAAAAGGTATTACATAGTAGGTCCCTCTACTATTAGAACATTACAGATTCTGATCTTATTTACAAAACCTCTGAACTTTATAATGGCTTCCTAAAATTGGAGGTTCTACTAGCACTCCAATGAGAACAAGAAGCTGATGATTGGAGGATCTAGGGCAGTGTTTGTTTCTTGCTTTTTAAGATAGCTTTATTGAGTGGTGCCTGGGTGCTCGGTGGGTGAAGCGTCTGGTTCTTGATTTCAGCTCAGGTCATGATCTCAGGGCCCTGGGATCAAACCCAGCCTCAAGCTTCGTGCTGGGCGTGGAGCCTGCTTAAGAGTCTCCCTCTGCCCCTCCCCCTGCTGGTGCACACACACACACTCTCTCTCTCTCTCTCTCTCTCTCTCAAAACATAAATAAAATAGCTTGGTTGAATGACATGTAATAAATTAAACATATTTAGACACACAACTTGATAATATGGAAATCATCACCATAATCGAGATAATGAATACATTCATCATCCTCAAAGCTTCCTGGGCGCCTGTGTGGCTGTTCCCTCTGGGTCCTTCCACTCTCTCTGCTCCGCTCACCTGCAGTTACTGATATGCTTTCTGTCATGATAGTTCACATTTCCTACAGTTTTATGACAATGGGATCGTACAGTAGGTACTCCTTTTTGTCTGGCTTCTTTGACCCAGCATAATTATTTTGAGATTCTTCACTGCTGAGTAGCCTCTCATGGTGTGGGTATGCCCAGTTTGTTCACCAGTTCACCTGGTGATACATATTTGGGTTGTTTCCAGTTTGGGGGCCTCCACAAACAAAGTTGCTATGAACATTCACATAAGAGTCTTTGTATGGACATAGGCTTTTATTTCTCTCTCACAAATACAAAAAAAAAAAAAAAAGGGAATGGCTGGATCATATGGTAGGACTACGCCTCACTTTTTAAGAAATGGTTCTTTGTTTCCAAAGTGGCTGTCCATCTCAAAAATATTCATCATCTCCTACAAAGTCATGGTCTGAGGATCCCTGAAATAATGTCTGTGAAAGATCTGGTGGTTCTTAAAATTGAGATAGATCCGTAATTCTATCAGTTGAGAAATAGTTATTGATTGCCTGATGTTTCCAGGTATTGTGCATGATGTTGAGTTACTAGCATGGATGGGGGGGAGATCCCTCCCTGGCCCAGGCTAGAACATACCTGGCTATTAGAAGAGGTAGAAAGTCAGACTCCCCAAAGTGCTAACAGCAGGGATAGCACCGAGAAAATTGAGATTCTGATGATTGGAGGGAGACTCTCAGGGCCAATCATTCAGACACACTTGCAGGGTTATAGGTTAAGAAAGTGAGAGTGAAGAGGGCCTATTTGAGGAATCGCAACTTTAGCTTATTTCATTTATTCATTACACACACACACACACACACATATTTTAATACCCACTATGTCCTTCAGATATATCGATGAACAAAATAAAAATCCCTGCCTTCATGGAGTTTACATTCCGCTTGGAGAAATACAATAAACTATATAAACCTAGTAAATAGGTAAACGATCTGTTAAACAATGGTAGGTACTATGGAAGAAACAGAGCAGGGGAAGTGTGGTTAGAAGTGGGGCAGCCAGTTCTAATTTCAAGTGGGAGATAGTCAGTGGGGTATGTTTAAAATCTAAATATAATAGTAGTATGTATATGTTATAATACAACTTCTAAAATTATTCCAACGTAATTAGAATCTGGTCTGCAAACCACTCTGAAACCTTCGATTCTTTAGCTGCTGTACTGACACTCTGCAGCCACTAGGGTGCAAATGGGCCATTTCTGAGAAAAAATGGGATGAGGGTAGGGGTGTGAGAGAGAGGTGGGTAATTAGGTACACACCCTCCCCCAGGTGTTCCGCAGGGGCAGCTCCATTAAGGGCACTGGCAAGACAGGCGGGCGAGTGTTACTGTGTGTCTTGGACCAAGACAGTTTTGCCCTTGGCTTCCCTTCCTTAGCAGGTCCTCACCCAGCAGGGGTTGGGGGCCGAGCTGAGAAATGAACTTCAGCACACGATGCATGTCAGCTGAGTGACGGTGGAAAGAGGCAGACCTGCCGGCCTTGTCTTCCGGCCCTGCAGCGAGATTTTGGGGCGCTGCGCGTGGGTTTCCTGCGGTTACACTCAGCGCCCCGGGTCTGTACAAAAGCCACCCCCCGCAAGATGCTTTTCCGTTCCCTTGTAATATTTAAGGCATCCCCAAGATGCAAGCATTCACCTTGACGTTCGGGTTTCTGGATCCTTCACACCCTCAGCCTCTGCGAGCAGATCGGTGACCATTCTTATCTTTTGGACGAGAGCCCATCCTGTCGCCCTCTCTGGAGCTGAGCGCTGCCCGCCTTTTGCCGGGGCAGGAGCTCCGCAAGGCCGGGCGAGCGGCGTGCCGGCGGGGCAGGGGCGCGCACGCGTGGGGCGCCGCTGGTTGCGCATCTGGCGCCAGAGCGCGCCCCCCGCGCAGTGCCCGCCACGGCCGCGGCGGAGGGTTGGTGCTCCGGGGCGTGCGGGGCGCTCTCTCCCCGCGCGGGGGCACCAGAGCCCTCGGAAGTGTCAGGCACTGCGGTGCATTTTCCCAGTTCCCTTTTAAATGACTGCGGAAAAACAGACTCTCGGAGCCGCAAATGGGGAAGACGGATTCTCAGACAAGGCTTGCGGATGCCCCGCAGCCATCATTTAACTGCGCCCGCAGAGCAGTTACGGTTTGTCACCCGAGCCTCCAGGATCGCCTCGTTTGTCCCTAGTGAGACCCCGAGGCTCTGCCCGCGCCGGGCTTGTCGGTAGCTGGATGCTTGTCTTGCTCTGGGCAGCGCGGGCGCAGGGCACGCGTTCGCGCACACCCGCGCACACACGAAATCGCGCAAGGTACGGCAGGGGAGCAAGGGCTCGGGGTGCCCCGCGGGGGCGGGGGTGGGCATCGCGGGGAGTGAAGCGACGATCTGGGAACGGCCGAACCCTGCCAGGCTGAAGGATGACAGAAAATGACGCGGCGCCACACATCGGACAGGCCGGGGTTGCGGCCGCGCATTTCGGGAACCCAATACGCGTCAGGCGCGCTCCCTTCCCCTCACATGTCTCTATTTCCCGGGCGTGTGATGCCGGAACACGGCAGGAAAAAGACCCACTTAGAGAGCCAGAGTTGCATTTGGAGACTCCCCTCCCTCTGCAAAAGCACCCACAGGAGACCCTCCCAAACCACGGATCCCCAAATAGCTGGCCCGGAACGGGGGCGGTTATCCTTGGTTACCAATGCTGAACACGTTTTGGTGTTTACAATATTTATTTATTTTTAGGCTAGCTCGCCCTCCCTTTTAGGCAGGATGGGAAAAGGAGAACGCAGCGGGGAGGGAGAGGGGAGGGAGGATTCCTATAATAAGAATCAGCGCATTTTTCAGAGCTGAACCGAGCCCGGTTTCCATTTCAAAAAAGGAGACAGCCTCTACTGCGACGATAGAAGAGACAGCGGTGTGAAGTAGGGACTGAGAGGCGTCGAGCGGTGGAACGGTCCATCTCGGAGGTACCTGGATCTCAGCGCACATACGCGCGCGCGCACACACACACGCACACACACACACAGGCGCGCGCGTCTACCCAGCCAGGCTGTGTGCGTGTGTGCGCGTGTATGAACTCCCACATGCTGCTGCTGTCTGCTCCTGGCCAGTGGCACCGATGCCTCCCTCCTCCCCGCTCGCCCCCAGATTCCCCTCCCCTCCCTGTTGCTTTTGTCTGGAGGGTGTTATGGGTTTGTGTGTGCATGAGCGTGTGTGTTTTTGGATTTCAGACTAATTTTCTGGAGTTTCTGCCCCTGCTCTGCGTCAGCCCTCACGTCACTTCGCCAGCAGTAGCAGAGGCGGCGGCGGCGGCGGCGGCGGCGGCTCCCGGAATTGGGTTGGAGCAGGAGCCTCGCTCGCTCCTTCGCTCGCGCTCTCCGCGCTCAGTGCCCGGCGGCAGGAGGAGCCTGCACCCAGGCGCCGCGGGCGGGCGGTAGGCGCCGGAGCCCGGGTGAGCAGCGCGGACAGTGCCCTCCGGCGTCTCGGCCCTCGCTGTCACCCCCACCCCCCGGGACGGCCGTGGCGGCTCCCCAGGTGGGACGCGCCGCGCCACCTGCCCGCGCCCCCTGCGCCCAGCGGCCGTGGCGGATTCTGCAGCATCATTGGGGGCCCCCGTCGCGGAGCCATCTCCGCCGCCGGCAGTCTCCGCGTCCCCCTTTAAAGGGTCCTTCGCCCGGCCTGTGCCATGGAATCCTGTCTCGGGGACCCTTGCCCTGTCTCCCCTCCCTCGACCTCAGAGAGAGGGGGGCACATCGGCGGCCTCGGCGGCGTCAGTGCCATCGAGGGGCAAGTTTATTTCTGGGGCCGGAGCTGGGCACGCATCCATCCACAGTCGCCTGGCTGGGGTCGGGGTGGGGGTGCCGCGAGCGCGCTGTATGGGGTCCTGCGCTCAGTCTCACGCGTGTCTGTTTGTCCTCAGCCCCGAGGTGCGTCCCGGATCCCAGTGCGCGTCTAGCAAGGAGCCTGCGTCCCGGGGAGTGCCGGCAGCGCCGCGGGCCGGTGCTCGGCGCGCCGGGCCATGCAGCGGCGGCCGCGGCGGAGCTCCGAGCGGCGGTAGCGCCCCCTGTGAGGCGGCCCGAGATGCCCCGGCCACTGTGAACGGTGCCGCCCGCCAGGACACGCTCAGCCCCGGACACGCTCGGCTCTGCGCGCCCGCGACAGGCACCGGGGCGAGGGAGCGGCGAGCGCGGCACAGGCCGCCCAAGCAGGGGCAGGGGAGGCCGGCCGGTGCAGCGCGCCGACACGTACTCAGTCCGACTCGGGCTGGCACTGGCGGCTAGGGATGTCGTCCTGGACGAGGTGGCATGGACCCGCCATGGCGCGGCTCTGGGGCTTCTGCTGGCTGGTTGTGGGCTTCTGGAGGGCCGCTCTCGCCTGTCCCACGTCCTGCAAATGCAGCGCCTCTCGGATCTGGTGCAGCGACCCTTCTCCGGGCATCGTGGCGTTTCCGAGGTTGGAGCCTAACAGTGCAGACCCTGAGAACATCACCGAAATGTGAGTTCCTGGTGCTCTTCCTCCTTCCTTCTCTCCTCGCCCCTCGGGCTGGGGCTGGCCAGGCGTGTCTGTCCGGGGCATGAATGTTGTCTCAGGTCTGGGGAGAAGTCCGACGCACATGGGAGATGCAGGGCTGGGCCATCTGTCAGTTACCTGTTTCTCTGGCTTGGGGCTGCTAACGTGGGGGAGAGGTGGACAGTTGGACATAAGTTTTAAGTATACTGTATGTGTCAGTAACATAAATACGTATGTTCTTTGCGGGGAGGGATTCTGTATACACTCTGTATTTCCAAGCCCTGCTGGGTGTGCTTTAGGCTTTCCTTATGCAATAACTTAGTTTTGGACATTTTTCTTTCCTAAGGTGCTAAGTGTATGTTGGGTTAGAAGTTCCAGTAATATTTACTAGAAAGGAGGTTAAAATAATGAACTTTTGGAAATCTGTTGAAGGAGGTTAGAGTCGCCCCCTTAAACATCATTCGCTGAGGTTTGGAGTTCACCGGTTTCCCTTTTCATTTTATAGATCAGATTTTTGTTTGGAGGTGGCATCCAGAGCTGGCCTGGAAAATGGTCTGTAAGAGGAGAAGTTCTGAGTGTTGAAATGTGCTCTCTTGAAAGAGAAAATGTGCTTGTCGGAAGCCTAAAAGCCTGGTCTGATTTAATTTGGACTTGACTTCCCAGAGATATAATTTTGAGACCATTTGGACTATAAATCTCAATTGCTGATTGAATACTATCCCAGGACTAGGTTGGATGATAAAGCAGGGCGTAGAATGCTGCCGTTTAGCATGGGACGGACCCCTGTGTCCCTGGAAATGTCTGAGCTTGTCTTGCTCTGAGGGAGAAGCAGAGTTGTGTATTTCTGTCCTCCCATTCTGACGGCTTGTGACAAATACATTACCAAGTAGGAACTCACCAGTGCCATCCCCAGTATTCCCTGTCACCTCTCCTAGAGGTGTCTCTCCCCCCCCAAGGGACTTGGTCATTGCCTACATTTCACTGGCATGAGATTTTATTCATCCATGCAGAGGATTGTCAGGCAAAGTTTCTCCCGGTTTTCCATATGGTGTTCGATGCTCAGATAGGCAGCCCTGAAAGTAGGGCTTAGACTGTGGCCTTCCGGTTGGCGAGTGCGCATGCTTTTTTTCCTCCCCAGAAAACGCACACCCTGTTTCTGCCAACGTAGTTGACTGAGATAACCTGTTTTTAATGTAAGTAAGAGACCTTCCTAGCCTCTGTTGTTTATTCTGCTGGTGATGCTCATGGTCTAAGGCTCGGGCAGAAGGAAATGGCAGTAGCATAGAGGGGAATGTGCAGGCCTAGCAGAGCTGAGATGTGCTGGGAGGAGCCAACTGTCAGGCTGGACCCAGGAGGCTGGGATCTGGGTGGGTTTTGTTTTTGTTTTTGTTTTGGAAGGATCCAGCTTTGGAGGAAGGGTGGGCAGGGCCCCAACTGTACTAGCCCTGGCTGGCCTGATCAAAGTGTCTGTGGCCTTCTATCAGGATCTGTGTCTTTTTCATGAGATGGGAGGTCAGTAGTCAGATGGAGGAAGCCATATGGAATTCAGAGCCTTTTGGACTATTTTGAGACCGGGGAGAGTGCCTTTATACAGTCAAACGTCTTGTTTTGTTGGTGGTGGTTTTGAAATTCTGTATTAGATGATGCATCTATAATGAGGGAGGAAAGGGGATCGAGCCAGTCATTTTCACTGTAACATTTTTTTTTTCACTGTAATATTTTTAGGCCCTAATGGGGGAAAAGGAAAATAAAACTCTCTTTAAGTGTAAAAAAAACACTGTTTTAAACCTTAGTGGTCTTAGCTGCCTGGTATTGATGAAATCAATAGATTGGAGCTGAGCTTTCTTATATCAGTTCTCATAATTGCTGTGGTTTCTGTAATATCTGATGGCAGGTTCCTATCTCCAGACTTTAAAAAACTGATGCTTTTTTATTTTTACCCAAGTGTTTGTTGTCAGCGGCACTCCTCATTTCTTCTGTTATTTTTTTTTTCTTTTGATTTGAAAATCCACTAAGATTGAGAGCGTGGGGAGGTGTGTAGGGTTAGTGTTTGGGATGGGGAATTACGTTCCTTAGTGATTCTGACAGGGCTGGTAAATGTGAGTTCTGAGAAAAAGTCTGTGCTCAGCTCTGCCCCTCAGCTTTGTTTGAGCCCAGCCGGTTTGTGCCCTGGTGTCCTGTAAAATGTACCAAAATCCTTATTTGGGAAGCACTTCATATAATTATTTTGAATTCTGTTGTTTTGATATCAAAATGACATCAGTGGATGAGCTTGTTTCCCTGTCATCCATATATGACACCATCTGGCTCTTTTTCTTACATATTAATATTTGTTTGAACAGCTTTTACATTCTTGGCCAATGGATACCAGCTACAGTTGGAACCAAATTACAATTTTTTTTTTTTAACTTTGTTATGAGACCCAGTGGTATTCCTAAAATAACCTGGTTGAAAGTTCCAGTTTAATGGTGCTTAGCTGAAATTCATGTTTCTATTTTTTCAATAGGAAAAATGGAAGTAAATAAACTATAATTGGAATTTGCTGAAGCAACAGTTTACTCTATCATTTAAAAATGGTACATCACTTAATATCTATATATTTTGGGAAAAGTACACCATGGTGCTTTTTGGGTTCAGAGAGAGCCCATGGTAGAACATTCTAAAACTATGTGCATAGACTCATTAAGAGAGAGAGTTTTATTTTTTGCTTCTATGTGCATATTTTAAGCCAAGTTGACATTTCATTTTTAGAGTCATCGTTTGAGCCTGTTTTATCAAAAATTCTGTCATCGTAATCTGTCTCATACTCTTTACCCACCAACATGATCTATTTACCTACATCTCTCTTCTCTCTCTGTCTATAGAATGCATCACACCTGCCCAACATCACACCGCTGCTTAGCATCAGCTTCTGTTACTCTGACGTAGTTATACCAAAGCCATGCTAAATTAAATTTAAAAATGATACCATTGTCACATATAAGTGGGATTCAAGAGTCAAGCCTGTTGTTGGAGTTATGTAACTGGCTATTGAATCTCTGTAGTATCAGGTGCCAAAATGTACTGCAAAGGACAAGTTCTGTCTCACTCAAGTGGTAAAAGGCGTGGTTAAAATAGATCACACGTTTCTTTTTTATTGTGGTCAAAAACACCTAACATAAAATTTACCATCTTAACCATCTTTAAGTGTATCATTTAGTAGCATGAAGTGTTAAGTGTATTTACGTGGTGGTGAAAGGGGGCATTCACTTTTATATCGCTCTTATTTTATAGAGATCAATGATGGCCTTTTTTTCCTGAATTTCTTGGGTGGTAGTTTCTGATTTGGGGGGGCATATTTGGAGACAATTGTAATATTTTTCCTCTTAGTACAACATAAATAGAATTTGCAGCTTCTGCTGCCAGAGCCTCTATGTGCAATAAATTGTTGGCTTGGTTTAAGTGACTGTAATGTGATGTCATTAATACATTGATTTTGGCCCCCTCACCTTAGTAAGCATTTCCACTGCAATTAATTGTACTAAAAACAAATATCCTGGCATTCGGAAAGATTTGGTGAGAGGCATCCGTTTTTATTACTCTGATGTTTATTTCTCAGGCCCTACACTGGGGGTTCTAGAACTTCGGATTGTGCTTTACATGCATTTAAGATGCACAGAGTAAGTTTTGAGTGTGGTTACATAAGCCACACTGGACTTGTTAATAAATAAGGCAGTCTAATTTGCATCATTAACACAACTTGCAAGCTGGGGTTGAAAACACGCTGTCTTCCCAGTGGAGGTATTTACAGAATTCAGCTCAGTACAACCATCTGAAGCCTCCTTGGTCTTATATCTTCAATCTCTGCATTAAGGAGGTTTTTATTACATTGGGTAAAACAAAAAACCCCTCGACCCTTCTGACCCGACTTTCTTCCCCTCTCCCTCCCATTACCTCTCATTGACTGTACAGGAAAATGTGTTTGAGTTTTTTTCTTCTTCTCCGAAAAGTGATATTTCCTTATGGGAATTCAGAGCACTAGAGTTAGGGGAAGGGCCTGGGTTATGTGTTATTACAAGCAAGTAATGGGAAGTTGAGATAATGTGGTCACAGTTCCCCAGAGCTGAGTTTAGTTCTGTTTAAAATCTTTCACTGTTTCTATCCCATAAACCTCTGTTTGTATCTGTTTCAATATTCCCTTGTAAAGACGTTTTCTAAGCTGAAAAGTTGGCCGGACAGCTACGAATTGAGGTCTCTTTCTCCCCAGGAACATTCTGTATGATCTCTTTGACTATATCTGGGTCGTCAGAGTATAAAACCTAGAGTTCTTGTTTAGTTGTGGAAGGGGAATTTCTTTCTTTCTTTTCTCTTTTCCTTTTTTTGTTTTTCTGTTTCTGTTTTTGTTTGGCCTTTGGTACTAAGCAAGGGCCCTCAGTGTTAACTCATTGCTCATGTTAGCTGTTAGCGAAAAAACCACTATTAAACCAGGACCGAATACCACACGTTGACGTTAGCCCTCAGACTAGCTTACCAAGTCTCTAGAGAGATTCTCGTAGCTTCAGAAACCATAGGGTAGAAAGTGGCCTTGAACCTGCTGGCCCTTGTAGTGCACTGCCAAGTTCTGGTGCCTCTTGATGTTTGTAAATCAACTGGTTGATTTTGGGGAGAGATTATTTCGACAGGCGCTTTTTTTTTTTTACTCATTTGGTGTGTGTGAGAGAGAGAAAGGGTGAGGAAGAAACGGAACCTTGGGTTAATAGCTGATTGACCATTTTCATAATCTACTTGGTCTAGCTAGTTTAACAAGCAAATCCCACCCCCCCAGGTGGCAGAGGTCTGAGCCCTGCAGTGGCCTGATCATTTTCACTCTACATTTGATTGCTGATCGATCTCCATTAAAGAAGGCAAAGATCTCACATAATCAGGGTGCCTTCTTACCACTTTGGTCTCTGGGCTGTCCAAGGGACAGGGAAGTCAGTAAATATTGATCTGGGCGATGAAGGCGT